AAAATATAGGATAAAAACGAGTGTTACCGTGAGCGAGCCGCGTTTAGATATCCGACTAGAAAATACACCGTCACGAAGGCGTTTCATCATGAAAAGACAATACCAAATATTAGTTTCTCTTAATCAATCCCAAATGCTGACGAGAGACGATGTTAGCTAAAATATTGAGGAACTTACGAAACATTTATGGCTAAACATGACTTTTGCGCTCTCCCGACTGATAGTGAGCTGTCATGGTGACTGTATTCCTTTAGTCGTAGGGAAATTCTGCAGTGAGTTAGTTTTCATCGACCATTAAAAAAATTTCGTTAAAAGGTTGCCACGAGCCGGGATCGAACCGGCGACCTTTAGATCTTCAGTCTAACGCTCTCCCGACTGAGCTATCATGGCGACTGTATTCCTCTGGTCGTAGCGAAATTCTGGAATGAGTTAGTTTTCGTCGACCACGTTTAGGTCCGGATGAGTTAATGATACTCGGAAAATAGGAGAAAGAAGAGTGCTGCCATGAACGAATCGTATTTACACATATCTAAGTGAACAAACACCATCTCAATGGCCATCTATCATAACATAACAACTACACAAAATACTAATTTCCCGACCTCCACGGTTACCCCCATGAGACCCCCTCCCCCAAATTACTGAAAATGGGAATCACTGGAATAGACTATCAAACCTTGGTGTCGCGACTAGCGCGAAAAGCCAGCTAGCATACAAAGAAGATAGTACTTAAATCAAATAGAAATGATTGAGCAATGGCCGATAGTGTAGTGGTGTTTAGATGCTGGGCTTTGAGGATGTGATTGATCTGTTCAGAGGGCGTGAGTTCGATTCGATTGATCTGTTCAGAGGGCGTGAGTTCGATTCGATTGATCTGTTCAGAGGGCGTGAGTTCGATTCGATTGATCTGTTCAGAGGGCGTGAGTTCGATTCGATTCAGAACACTTCAGTGCAAAATCTTTGACAAAGTTAGATCTCATTCAAGAGATCACAATCAAGAGGGCTTAGTTTCGACACTATTTGAATAATGTTTCATGGATTTGGCATCAATTTTTCGTGTTGTTTTGGTGTTATTTTGTTCGTGGCGGCTTGTATATATGGTGCATAAAGTATTAAAATCAGTGTTGTTGCTATTCATCGCTAAATCTCATCAGTAAATGCATCTAAATGATCTATCTGTAATTTTNATTACCACTCCAGTTATCACCATTATCACTCCAGTTATTACTATTATCACTCCAGTTATCACTATTATCACTCCGGTTATCACTATTATCACTCCGGTTATCACTATTGTCACTCCAGTTATCACCATTATCACTCCAGTTATAGCTATTATCACTCCAGTTATCACCATTATCACAGTTCACTGCTCTTCCAATCCATGTTTGACCGGTTATTTTGCAAATATTGTCTCGCCATCTCATTTTCGGTCGACCCGACTGACTTCTCGTTCCGATTCCGATTCTAGGTTGCCACTTTGGGCACCTCGCCGCCCGGCTGTTAGTGTCCATTGTTGCGATTTTTAATGTTGATTTA